AACCTCTAGGACAAGGAAGTCCAAAGAAGTCAAAATAGAAGGGAGATACAACAGAGAGAGGTAACCTATGCTCCCAAACAACAGAAGTCGAGAGGCCATGGCCCATATTAGCTACAAAATCTGCAGTGAAATTGGTCTCCCTAAAAACATGCTGAAAACGAATAGAATAGGAACTCATCGGCAAAATATCTTGAACAATTTGTTGGATACTCCATGGAATCGAAACCTTCTTAAGCACACTGTCAATAATAAGCTTGCAATCCCCATCAACAATGATATTACGCCACCTGTGATTAAGGGCAAGAGCAAGACCATCCCTTAACGTCAAGCAATCAGCCACATTAATGGTAGTCTCACCAATCTTGTTTGCACTAGCAAGTAAGACATGACCATCACTGTTGCGAATAACAAAACCAGTAGTGCCTTGCAAATTTTGAACTGATCCATTAAAGTTAATTTTGATCCAACCAACAGGGGGGCATGCCATTTAGCGGCCATGGGGCTTGAAGCCTTAGGTTTCACAATGTGGATTTGTTGCCAATAATCCAGACCCACAACAGCCGCAGCATGAACATATCTAGTAGGGTGCGGTTGGGTACTACGGAAAATTAAGTTGTTTCTTGCCTCCCAAATTTGCCAGCGAATTAGGATAGCCTTGGGAAGATGATCGAACTCCTGAGATTGAGCATTGCAAGAGAGGAAAAAGTAGATGAGCAACCCCAAACATTCTTGGCAAAAAAGCATTAAGCAAATAAATGTTGAACATATTCTGGATGTTCCTGACAAATAAGGCAGTCAAAGCTCTCAAAGGCATAACTGAGGGAGAAATCAATTCAATCTACTTCTGACTTGTAGTCTTTTTCTGATAAGCATCTAAGCAAAAATCTTCACCTTAGGAGGTATATTAAGTTTCCACATCTCCTTGAGTAGCTTGGTTTGAGGATGGGATGGATTCTCTTGAATTTGAACCTGGTATGCACTTTTTATGGTGAAGACACCACTAGGATTTGGGCCCCACACCATTTGATCCTGTAAATCAGAAATAGGTAAAGGAATAGATAAAATTTTATCAATAACATCTTCATCTAAGATTTGCATGAGCTTATTTCTGTCCCAAGAGTTGTTGATAATGAAATATGAAACTTTTTTTATTTAAGTCCAAGTAAGATCTTTGGTGCTCTGGAATCAGGTCAAGCAGAGGGAAAGGGGTTTGGATTTCTTTTTGAGGGTTAAGAAACTCTATTGTCTTAGAGCACTTTCACCCATGGTGCCATGGTAAAGGGTAAGGGCAAATAAAGGCAAACACTATTTATGTGAATAGTGTTTGCCCTACCCTTTTTTATTTTGCTTTTCCACCCATTGTCATGGCAAGTAAAGACAAGCACTAGATATGAGGAGAGAAATTTGTATGAAGTTTTGGTGTGGGAAGTGAATAACATGACTAGGTTGCAACTCAAGCAACTTTTGCCTTTGGGCTTGCATGGGTAAATGGGGCCCTTTTTTGCCAGGGCCGCCTTTCATTGTTGGAGACCTTAAACCCAGCTTGGCACTACTAAAAAACTGGGCTAAAAGCACGAATTTTATTTGTGTTCTTTGTTTCAAACAGCACGGATAATCGTGCCCTATGAAAATAGCAACGGTGCAGCCACTTTATAGTGGTCGGTCTCCTGTATAGGGGTTTCTATTGATTATAGAGCACAAATATACTGATTCGTGGCAAATATTTAGAGCACGAAATAAAGCATTTGTGCTTATAGAGTAGATGGCCCCACCAAAACTCCACCTCTTGATAGTAGCTCTTTGAGAATACGAAAATAATACTTTTTTATTCAATATGAACACAAATTTCTCTAAACGTGGCTAAAAGGCAATCTTTTTAAAAATAAAAATAAAAAAATGAAAATAAACTCAGATACCAAAAACAAATAAATTTTGTTACAATAATTATTTTGTACAACTCTGAGTATCTCCGTATTTTATTGATTTGCAGTACAGCCCACTTAATTTGCAACAAAGTCCCTCCTGAGTACTGACAATATCATCGTCCAATCTCCAGATCTGCTTTCTTCCTCCAAGTTCTCTAACATCTTCATCTTCCCATTTCAAAACTGCAAACAATCAGATTTAGTGAACAAAAACAAAGATGCTAAAAAATTACCAGAAATCAAATCAAAGAAAATTTAATTGATATTAATGGGCATAACAAAATTCTCAAAAAATATAGAACTCAAGATTCATTCATAAACTCACCCATAAACAACAAATTTATGTCCAAAATCAAAGAAAGAAATTAAATAAGATAAACCTAGATTCTCATATCAGCACCCAAAAAGAGATAAACAAAAAACTAGAAAGAAAATTTACTTGAGAGAAATCACCGGATATGGAGCGGATCTACCTATATCCGATAATCCGATCCGAAATATTTATTTTCATAAATTTTCAAATTAACAAAACTAACACAGAATATATTAAAAAACAATCCATAAAAGAATATGATAATTGCATCCAAAATATTCAATTACACTTCAACATGAACGAAAATCTTACAGCTCCACCAAAATACTTTCATCTTAGTCTTGCATTTCTTGTGTATTTCAGTGACTGAGAGAGAGAGAGAGAGAGAGAGAGAGAGAGAGAGAGAGAGAGAGAGAGAGAGAGGTCTGCTTTACCCCGAAAAATAGATGAGGTCTGAGAGAAGGTGAGAAGAAGAAGATGATGAGTAATGGAGAAGAGAGAGTAGATCGAGAAAAATGGGCGACGACTGCATTTGAGAGTAAGGGAGCAGTGTGTTAATAATAGGTTAAGAATGTCAGGTAAGAGTGGGAAAAAAAATAAAAAAAATAAATAGATTAAGGAAAGGAGGGAGCCGTGTGTTGTTGTCCAACTTATTTTTTTTTAAATACTTTTTTTGCAACACTTGAGACACAATTTAAAAAGAGAGTAAGGAGGGAAACAAAATTATAGAAAATAAAAAAAGACAGGAAGATAGAGAGAGAGAGAGAGGCGCCTCTTAGAGAAATCATTACTTTTTACTTTGTTTACAGTATTGACACAATTTAAAGCATTCGTGCTCTATAGCCATTTAAAAGAACACAAATTCTTTTTACCAAAAAAAAATAAGAACACAAATTCAATATCCGTGCTCTATCTATAGAGTATAGACTATCTTACTTTTTTTTTTTTTTTTTAAATGAAAAGACTTTCATACTTTGATTATGAACAAAAAAATAAAGACTATCATACTTTGAAATGTGTGCGGTACAATGCCACAAAATTCAATATTCGTGCCCAATATTGAGTCATAATAGTGTAAGTAACAAGAGACATGCTTTTTTATTGGTATAAGGCACAAATAATGTTTTATGGTTAGAATTTTTTATTAGTACAATATATAAGAAAAATGCACAAAAGTATATTTTTCATGGTTAAAAAAGCTTCAACTATTCAAAAAGTGTAGTGACAAACTCTATGCTATGATATTTGGCCACAAAATTTGTGCTTAAACTGCTTAGGCACAATTATTTGCTTTTTCTATTGTCATTGGACACAAAACTATTATGTCTTCTTTACAAATCACACAAATACTAGTATTTGTGTAAAATGTAATTCAAAAAGACATGAACTTTGTTTTTGTGATCTTTGGGTCGTGCCTTTAGCCCACTTTTCTAGTAGTGTGAATTTGCTCAATCTCTGCAAAACCCAACAAAAGCCAATGGATGTGTCCAATACAATCATGTGGGTCTCTGCAAAACCTCCATTTCCTATCTACAAAATCCTAAAACCTTTTCGCCCCAAATCTCACGCCCAAGTCTCCGTATCCTCAATCTTCATCAACAACATGACTAGGTATTTATAGAAAAAATATATATGAATTTTTTGTTATATATATAAAAATTGGTTGCTAACGTCATGCTGATGTCAACATGACATCAGCAACCCCAGGCTGCAGCTCAAGCAACTTTTGCCTTTGGGCTTGCATGGGTAAATGGGGCCCATTTTTGTCAGGGCCGCCTTTCATTGCTAGAGAGCTGAAACCCAGCTTGGGCTCCCTTTTGCCCTTGCAAAACTGACCCACTTGAAGTGCTCTTAGGTATTTTGAGTTACAATTTTGACCCACCAATTAAAATGGTGAGTGAGGCATGTCCAACCAAGCTTCGCTAAATCTGTAAGGTTAAAATAGTTAGTAATTCTAACCCCTAAACCTCCAAGGTCCTTGGGGAGACACATATTTCCAAGAGATAGGGTTCAACCTATCATTGCCCCAAAAAAACTTCGTACAACTCTTATTCATTTCTTTCGCTACTTGGGGGGCATTTAAAACATGAGAAAATATGATTAGGGATTCTAGAAATATTGGCTTTAATCAAGGTTAAACACCTAGCCCTAGAGAGTGTGTTTGCCTTCCAACCTGCAAACTTAGAATGAATCCTATCAATTAACTCCTTGGCATTTTGGGGATCTTTCCCAAAAACAATGTTATGGATCCCAAGGTATCTACCTATAATGGTTTTATGTTGGATTTGAAGGCAGGGCCGGCCTTAGGGGTAGGCGAGAAGGGCCTTGGCCATGGGCCTCCAATTAAGGGGGCCCTAAATTTTTATATATATATTATTGTCCAACATTAAAAAAACAATTAGTCAGCGATGTAATTGAATAAGGAAGACGATTCCTCTTCCCATCCAGACAGAAGCTCCTCGTTTCCTACACAGCCAGCAAGAGCAACAGCCCCTCTCCTAGTTCTTTCTCCATGGAACTCTATTTAATCCACCGATCTCTTAATAATCCATCCACCACCATATTTTTCTCTATTTTCTCCGTCTCCCTTCAATCCATTCCATAGCTTTTATTTTCAGTTTCTCTCATCCCTCTTTTCTCATATCATATTGTAACCCTAAGAATCAATCTCACACCAAAAAGCTCACAAATTGTCTTTGTCTTTGAGATTGACGGTGACCAACAGAGGGGAGGAGCATGAGAAATTGAAAAGGTAATCAGATTTATAATTTTTTCTTTATATTTGTTCCTACCCAGCAAACTATTGTTTCAATTTCCAATAGGAACAAAACACAGAGAGCTACAGAGTGGTAATCAGATTTATGAATACTTGATTGAATTGCATGTATCTTATCATTGCAGATGTACATGAATCAGGTGGAGGTATAGAGTGGAGTTTCTCAAATTTTAGTTTCAACACAGCTAGCCTGAATAAAGCTCTGCA